GGAAGAGACAATCATTTCAATAAATGGTGTTGGGAAAACTGGACATCTACATGCAAAGAATGAAACTGGATTACTGTCTTATATCATACATAAAAATAAACTCAAATGAACTGAAGAATTAAACATTTAAGTTGTTTCATTTAAATAGTGGAAGAAAGTTAATCAAATAATTTTAAAACAAAACTGAAACCATGAAACTCCTAGAAATAAACATAAGCAATAAATTCCTGAACATTAGCATTCATAATTTTTTTCTGAATATGCCTCCCCAAGCAAGGGAAACAAAAGCAAAAATAAACAACTGGCACTACATCAAACTAAAAAGCTTCTGCATAGGAAAGGAAACCCCTCAACAAAACACAAAGACATTCTACCATCTGGGAGAATAATTTTTTGCAAATGATATATCTGATAAGGGGCTAATATTCAAAATATATACAGAACTCATACAACTCAACACCAAAAAAAAAAAATGATGCTCCATACCCTTAAATCTCAGGTAAATGCAAATTAAAACCATAAATGACGTATCAATTCACAAAGTCAGAAGGACTACTATCCAAAAGACAAGAAAAAACAAATGTTGACGAGGATGTAGAGAAAAGGGAACCCTCATACACTGTTGGTAACACTGCAAACTGGTGTAGCCACTATGGAGAACAGTATGAAGGTTTCTCAAAAAACAAAATAGAAATACTATACGACCCAGCAATTCCACTTCTGGTAATCTACCCCAACAAAAATTGAAATCATTTATGGTAAAATATGTATGCACCCGTTTACTGCAGCTTTATTTACAATAGCCAAGATATGGAAGCAACTAAAGTGTCCATCAAAAGATGAGGGAAAAAGAAGATTTGGTACATTTCTACAGTGAATTATTATTCAGTTATAAAAAGGAAAGAAATTTTGTTATTTGTGACAACATGGATAGAACTGGAGGGTATAAAGCTATGTGAAACAGAAAAAGATGAATACCATATGGTTTTCCTTACATGTGGAATCTAAACAAAGCAAGTGAACAAACAAAACAGAAACAGACTTATAAACACAGAGAAGGTTGGTTACCACTGGGGGTGGGGAAATGGGTAAAATATGTGAAGGAGATAAAGAGGTACAAACTTCAAATTATTAAATAATTTAGTCACAGGAACAGAAGTATAGCACAGAGAATATAGTTCAAAGTGCTGTAATATCTTTGTGTGGTTACAGATGGTAACTACACTTATGGTGAGCATTTAGTAATGCACACAATTAATGAACCACTAAGTTGTTCATCTGAAACCAGTATAATATTATATAAACTATACTTCACTGAAAAGAGAGAAAAGTTAACTTTTCTTTATTCACTAATGTTTTCTTGTTAAAAACACAACATACAAACCAGTAAACAATATAAAATTTATAGTTCATGAAAACTTCCCTTATTAGAAAAAGTGAAAAGTAATATATTCATTTTAGTGGCAAGAACAATAAAGGAAACTATCCATGTAATTCTTTAAAGTAAATTCCAGAAACAGTAAGTTGTTTCATCTAAATACCAGAAGAAAGTTAATCAAAAGAATGTAAATTATAAGAAAAATTGTTGAAAGGTATGATGGTAGGCCAGTTAGAATAAAATAATTTTAAAAATAGTCAGTTCAACTGAGATAATATTCTGAAAAGTTATTTTCATTGGTGATAGAGAAAAGGAATAATGATGAGTATTATGTGAAAGAATATATTGTATATAAAAAAAGACCATGAACTGCAAGGAAAACAGTAAGGTAGGTTTACATAGTTTAATTGCAGTCACTACAAGTGGTATCAAATCTCAAATTATAATAAAAATGTTGTTTTAGGGGCTCAAATAACCTAGCAACACATGCAAAAATAATTTGCTGATTAACCAAAGAAAACAGTAAGAAAAGTTCATTAAAAAGTAATTAATTCTCTAAATTCCACCCTTTTCAATCTCCAAGACTCAGTCCCCACATTTAACTCTTTCAGTTGGTTTTCTGCTCTTTACCTTAATATTTACAAATATCATGCTTCTACTGCTATTTTTTAATTTTTCCATTATAGATTTTATTTGTTGAGATCTTAATAAGGAAAATGAAGACAAGTTTCTTACATTACTGCTACCACCACTATCATGTATCATCAACACCATGGCTAACATTCTCCCACATCCAATCCCCATCAACTCATAAACACACTTCCTCGCTCTTCAGATGCACAGCATAGTGGTGAAAGCATGGACTCACAAGTTGGACTGCCTTAGTTTGAAACTAGGCTCTTCATGCCAGCCATGTGACCTTGGACAAGTCACTTAATATCTATGCCTCTATTTCCTCATATATATAAAATTTCCTTCTATTTCCTTCTATATATAAAATGAGGTACAATGACAATGCCTGTTTTATAGGGCTGTTATGAGAATTAAGTGAGTTAATGCATTTAAAGCATTTTCAACACTGCCTGGAGCATAGTAAGTGCTATAAAAATCTCTGGTATTATTATAGCTACGTCACAATTTCTCATTTAATCAAAATCTAGTATTTACAAATATTGTAAAAAAGAAAACATTCACAGATAAACCACATAGGTTAGATTTTACTTCCTTTCGCCTATAAATTTGTTTTTCCTGAAGTGACTAAAAGACCCATTTTTTCCCTTTGCATAATTTTCTGTATGCCTAAAATTCATTCCTGACCTTGACAGAACTGTAAAACCTCTCTCCATGTTGACAAACTCAAGTCAACTATCAGTTTTTTTTCTTCTTTTTCTTTTTTCCTTTTGACCCACTCCACTCCAAACTTTCTGGATGCTTTCCAGGCTTATGGATACCTGTCAGTTTTGGACATGAAGAATTCCTCTTTCTTAATTTGCTCCCTCATTTTGATATAGGATACCCTCTGCTAGCTTCTTAATAAGGTTACTTGAGAGTTATAATTTCTGAGACCTTGCATGTTTGAAACTTTTTCTACCTTGCACTTGACTAATAGTTTGCATACAGAAAGCTGGAAATATGGAAATATTCTATCAGTCTTTGAAGGGATCATTCTAGCATCTGCTAGCTCCCTGTGCTGCTGCTGAGAAGTCATTCTGATTACCACTCCTAAGAGTGAAAAAATAAAATGCCAACTGGAAGCTCTGTATATGTGGGAGAAGTTTACCAATGGTGAGCCTCACTGTCTAGTGATTAGTGACTAGCTATTTCAACAGAGTACCCCCTGAAGATCAGTGTGTACGTACATTCTAGTTGAATCAGTTTACCACAGGAGAAACCCACCAATCCTGCTTGAGATACATAAGACAGGATGCAAACATTCTAGGAGCCAAGCAAGAGAAGTCTACTGGAGAGTCCCAACATTCAGTATGTAAGCATTTACTGTTTTCAGTATGGGGGTCTCACTCTTACCCATAGCTGTACCTGAAGTCCCTGACTCTGGTTCAGTCTCTCTATAACTTTACTGTCTGATAACGGTGGCCATTAGCCACATGTGGCTATTTAAATTTAAATTAGTTAAACCTAAATAGAACTAAAATTCAATTACTCAATCACACTATATACTTTCAAGTGTTCAGTAACATTTGTGGCTATTGGACATATGGACAATGCAAATACAGAATATTTCAATCATCACAGAAAGTTCTAATGAACAGCACTGCTCTAAAGAGTAAACTCCAGGATAATGCTAAGGCAAGGGGTGATAGTCATTTGGTTGCTGAGGTAAGGGAGAGAATCTAAGAGAATCTACCTACTCCTCAGAGTAAACCTCAGGTTTCCACTGAGGCAAGTGAGGGATAGTCACATGGTTGCAGAACTAAGGGCAAGAATCTAGGGTTTAAATCTTAGACCTGTGGTATCCAATATGGTAACCATCAATCACACAAAACTATTTAAATTAATCTAAATTAAATTAAATTAAATATCTGGTTACTTAGTCACACTAGCCATATTTCAAGTACTCATTACCTCCATATAGCAAGTGGCTACAGCACAGATTCTAGAACATTCTCATCATTCAGAAAGTTCTACTAGATAGCACTGCCTTAGACATCCTACAGACCACGTTTTCAGCCTCTCATCTCTATATTTACAGTTAGATGTTTACTCCAATACCCAAGCTATTCCCAAGTTTAACACAGTAAATCAACTTGCCTCTTGTTGATACAAGTCTCCTATAGTAGACACGAGTTTCAGCTTTCCCCATGCGACTAAGGCTTTTACTACCAGGACCTTAGCAGCCTTATGTGAATTAGAAGAGGCACCTCCTTTGGAATGAGTGGTATGTACCAGTGCAGGAAGAAAAAGGCAACCATTCTTCCCAATGTATGCAAACACTGTACAGGGCACACAGCTTAGAAGCAGAACATAGGCTGGCATTTCACTGCCATGTGCCTCCTCAGCCAGATACTCAAGCAGTGTAAGTAGAGATCCCAGTTACAATTACTCTATTTTCCATTTCCCAAAATTCTATTGCCACCTCTTCCTTGCTTGTCCTCTTCTCTCTCAACCTTTGTCCTCATGGGTTTACATCTTAGTGCAGTCCTTTACCATCATTTCAGTGGATTTCACATGGATTTAATCCTCAAACTAAAAGTCTGAATTAATAACTATTCCACTTGTATCTTGTTCTTTCTGTTACGATTCCATCTATCAGTTCTGAGAATGTGCTCCAAACACACAACATATCTTAAGCAGATTATCTGAGCAGCACTAAGGTAGAAAGACATAGTCTATCCATTTAAAGTAACACTGACACCCAGAATTATCAGTTCACAAGCAGAAAGTTGATAACTGGGTTTTCCAAATCCTATTCCTCAAAAGCTAAGCTAAAACTCCTTCCAAAAGCTAAAACTCCTACCAAAGTGAAAAAGTCACTTATAAAACCCCCCTGACAATAACAACTCAACAACAAACTGACTCGTAATTCTAATGCTTTTTGATTTACCAGTAATAGATGTAATTATGAATAAACAGAATAAACAAGTATCATATTTTTATTACAAACCTGTGCTGGTGGTACTTGCAATGGATTGTTATCCAAAATTATTACTTGCAAGTGATGCAGCTTCCTGTAACAAACTGGAATTTTGGTCACTTTATTACAAGAGAAATCCAGCTTGACTAAGGGAAGATCTCCTAATTCTGTTCAGAAATGAAAAATAATTAAATTAAATTTTACATAGTTACCCTTTTATTCATGTCAATAAAAATAGTTAGCATCTTACCATCTGGCAACACATGAAGATTATTTCTTCTTATATTTAGCTCTCTAAGTGAATGCAATTTTCCCATTTGTTGGGGAAGGACCTGAATCTCATTGCAGCTAATATCCTAAGGAAAGCAAGAAAGCACAATTATAACAAACTGAGAAATACAGATATATTTCAACTTTTAAACTGAAGGACATGACTAACAGCTAGTAAAAGTTAACCTCTAGTGTCATTTTTCTAAAGGTAGATTACCTGTCAGGTTTCAATTTACAGTACATCATGAAGTCCACCCAACACAGTTAACATAAACTTTTCTGTGCAGAAATTTGAGGTTATAACTTAGTACTACTACATAAGTCAGTCTTTTGAAATCTCAACTGAAGACCACTCTCACTAATTAAAATCAGCAGTAAGAATGATCCATTCATTCAGAGGTAAAATAAAAGGCAATTATAATCATTGTGATAATCTGCCAATTATATGAGTTGGTTTTAGACACTTGATAGGCAGAAGCTGAGAAAGTCAAGGATTTACCAATGTGAGCTGGAGAACCAAAGACTGTGGTCAGACTCAATTTAACTAAACCTCTTTCTCAAAGGGATACAAAACATGAGGGATTACAAGCTCAAAGTTTTGTAGCTCACATCATAAGCCAAAGACATTATAGGAGATCTGAACTGGAAATGTCTCAAGGTTAAACTAAAATACAAGCCCTTATTTAAAGATAAATGACACCATATTTCCATAATAAGAGGATAAAGAACAGCTTAAGTTAACTGTGCTTTCCTCTCCCTTCCCTTTCTTAGTACCACATCAACAAAAAGGGAAGAAAAATCTGCAACAAGACCTCAGACAGCACCCATTACAGATACACTGCAAATGAAATTATTCTACTGCAACTGCCCCCAATTTCCAACTGTCACTGGAAACTGTATTAGCTTAGAAGGAAAGAAGTGGTACATAAATTCAATTTTATCAACAGTAAAAATGGCAGGAGGGCTAAGTTCAAAAGAATATTAAAGACATTATAATGTAAGGAAGAATCCAATAAACCTACAAATGATAAGAAAAATGTATTCTACATACTTCTTTCAAACTGTATCTAAGACATCTTCATTCAACAACAAATATTTACCAAATACCAACCATTTGCTAGGCACTGTTGCAGGTGTTGGGGGGACAACATCAAGGAATAATGCAAACAACACTTCCTGCCCTCATAGCTCCTTGAGGAGCTAGAGTAGATTATATAATATGCTAGAAGGTGATGAGTGCTAAGAAAAAAAAAATCAGGGTAAAGGAAAAGCGCAGGGCCAGTGGCAGTGGGGAGAGGTATTAGCAATGTAGATTATCTCATAGAGAAGCTGATATTTGAACAGTATTGTCAGAGCTGAGTATGAGCCATGCCAATATATAAGAACAATATTCCAGACAGAAGGGAACATAAATGTAAAGGCTCTTAAGCAAAGTATGGCTGACGTATTAGAACAGCAAGGAATCCAGTGTAACAGGAAGAAGTGTGCAACGGGGAGACTAGGATGGGAGGAGAGGTACAATTTTGGTTTTTAGTCAGAGAGATGTGAGCAAGAATCAGAAACTTCTAAACAGAGGCATGACATGATGTGACATGTTTCAACAAGATCACCTTAGTTGCTTTGTGGAGAAGAGGCCATTATCCAAATAATGGATAATAAAATTGGGGGAAATGCCCTTTAAATACTTTGCTTCCTCTCAAAGGTGTCTAATATTGAAGATTTCTGTATAGAAAACCCAAAGAAATTTGATAGATAGCTGCATTTCCCAGGAGAAATAGACCCAAGGACAGAAAACTGACCCAACTCACCAATGTGTATTGGAGGCCTGAGAGTACTTCCTAGGTTTCTAATAATAGAATTTCACTGTAGTTGATTAACACATTCTTGTGGAATAGTGTCATGGGAAAATATTCCAAGGACAGGTTATATCCACAAGTTCATTATGTGACTTACAATTGTCAGTTTGCCATCCTAATGCTATCTGTCCACTGTTACTGATTTCAAGGGTTTATAAAGCATAGTAATTTTATAGTGCCTAGTAAAACAATTATATTTAATAGTTTTTAAACATTTCACTTAAATAAAAATACTAGACTAAGTCTAAAAACCCTGAATAGTTTTTTGAAGTTTCATTTATCCAAAACCTATCTCATGTAATATAATTTAGAACATAGAGCCAAAAACTGTATAAAAAAAGAGAAGAAATTACAGAGCCATAGAATATCAAAGCATAATTTTCATTAAATCTTTCAACATATTAACAGTGCCCAGGTCAAAGAAAGTAATGGTCTTCCCTTTTACTGTGAATGTGTTAGATCACATCTGCAATCTTATTTTCATTTGCGAGTACAACACTAAAAGAAACCTTAATAAAAGGAAACATTTTCAGGACAGAAATAGCTGAAAATAAAATGAATAAGAAATACAGGAAATATAGAAAGGAATACAAGTAATAAAGATGTTTAAGCTACAGAAAAACTAGTCTTAGAGTTTGGTAAAATGGAGAATAAACACACAACAAATTACAAATATCTGAAGGGAAAAGAAGTTGTAATTTTCTATAGTTCTTTACATGGTGGTCCCAGGACCAATGGATAAAAGTGATAGAGGCATGTATTTTAGTTCAAAATAGGTAACAATATAAAAGGGAAGACCATTACTTTCTTTGACCTGGGCACTGTTAATATGTTCAAAGATTTAATGAAAAAAGATGAACCCTCATATTTTCCTCCCCTTCCTTGTATTATAATTGCATATGCAGGTACTCCTTAATGAATTAAAGAAAGACACTCCTGAAATTTCTGTTCATTACACTCTGTTTGCACCTTAATTTCTCAATATAAAATCGCTGGTAATTTCCTCAAGAAAACTTTTGGCCCTCCACACATAATAAAGTCATACTTAAGAATACTTTTAAAATATCTTTGTATTGGGAAAGCATTACTCAAGGTAACACAGAAAATAAAAATAAATAGCATGGTATATATTGTGAGGTGGAAGTAACAGAAGAATGAAAAAATAGCTCAATTCTTTGAGGGTATGATTATGTTTCTCTCAGAACTCAATGTCCTTTAATACCCAAAATGTTATGTTCAAAGTACTTACTTTAAACTGCTCCTATATTTCTACAATCAATTGTATATAATGGCCTCTTTTCATTTATCTTGGTCCCAGGAGTATTATAAAAATCACATGAGGATATAGGAAGGGTTGTTTTGTTCTTTCTACTGTTTGCAGGCATTATACTCTTCTTTTATCCCCTTTCTCCAAGGCTCTCATAGTAGCCCTGCAAAACCTTTAAAAAAGATGAACCCTCATATTTTCCTGGTCTAAGAACTTTACTGTCCACAAAATGGATAGACAAATGCTAACTCATTTGGAAAGCATTTCGTAAGACTTGTAAGCAAGCCTTATGACCTCACCAGGACTGAGGAACAACCTGGCTTTTATTGTAGCTGTGAGCTAAAATCAAACATAAGCCATGGTATCTCAAAAATTTTCTAAAGACAACTTAGGTATATACCAAGTTATTCTTCTTTTTTTAATTACAGTGAAATTCCATAAAAGACTGATTAATAAAGTTACACATATGCATATTATATATAATCAACACAACTATTTTACTCACCAATTCCATCAAATCTTTTAACTTCCCAATTTCTTCTGGAATGGATACCAGTTTATTATTACTGATGACCAAAACTTTAAGAGGAAGATCAAATAGGTATTTTGGCAATGTTGATAAAAGATTTCGACTGAAAAGAATAAGAAAGTCTCATTTTAAGAAATATGTCTGAAACCTGACATGTTATGTTGAAAAAGAATAAATCACCTCAAAAGTAAAAAGAAGCTTTCACTTCTTAATGATTGCTTACTTTGGACCAGGCTAAAATCCTAACATGCACTATCTCACTTAATCCTCACACTAACCCCAAAGACAGGTAATATTATCATCTCCATTATACAAATCAAAAAACAAAGGTTATAACTGGTTAAGTGACTTGCCCAGGCACCAGACTGCAAAGCCTATCCTGTTACCTATGATATTGTGCCAAAACCCAGAATTATTCTTCTGAGCTAGAAAATGCCAGAACCTTGCTCTCTGGTATAATTTCACTATATTCTGTACTTTCATACCTGTAACTAGGGAAAGGTTCCAAGGATAAATCTGCATGCATTATATTCAAATTTATGAAAATAAGGGACAGGATTATATCTTCAAAAATAGTAACCTTAACCTACTGCCTTTTGTTACAGGTTTGTGGCAGAACAGCGTATTAGCGCCTTTACCTCAGTTCAAAGTTAATACAGCATTCCTATTTCTGTGAATACATTAAATATAACAAACAACACTTACTGAGTGCTTACTATGTGCACCATGTTCAGGGCAACTCAAATGAATTAACCTGACTAACGCTCACAACAATCTACTTTACTAGGAAGACAGATACTATCATTGTACTATTTTATAGATGAAGAAAACAGCAGTAAAGAGATTAACTGCTCAGTCACACAACTAGTACATGGGAGAACCAGTATTTAAGCCCAGGCAATCTGACTCTGAGGCCCTTTTACCCTTAAACTACTGTGGTCAAATTTATACTCCAATGCAGACTAACCCAAATGATCCCTGCTATAGACAATGTCTGTGTCCTCCCCTCCACAACAATTACAATGGTAAAACTCAATACCCAGCATTTAATAATGTAAATAACTGTCAAATCACTATGTTGTAAACTTGAAACCAATATAAATTTGAATATCAACTATATTTCAATTTAAAAACAAAACCTAATCCCAGTGTGATGGTACCTGGAGGCAGGGCCTTTGAGAGGTATTTGCCCTCATGAATGGAATTAATGCCCTTTTACAAGACCCCAGGGAGCTTCCCTGCCCCTTCTGCCATGTGAGGATACAGCTAAAAACGGTCACCTATGAACCAAGAAGTGGGACCTCACCAGACACCAAATCTGCGAGTGCCTTGCCCTTGAACTTCTCCAGCCTCCAGAACTGTGAGAAATGAATTTCTGTTGTTTATAAGCCACCAAGTATATGGTATTCTGTTATAGCAGCCCAAAGAGACTGACAATCCCACTATCAAAACATATGAATTATTATCACTACATTTATATACTATCAAGCATTCATAAGCAACAAGCTATTATTCTTCCTGTTTTTGTGTAACATGCACAGCAACAAAAACGTGGTGTTACCACAAGTAAGTATTTGAAGAACTTTCACCCCATTTTATGCCTGCATAGGATGTCCAGAAACACCACACTGGTTTTAATCACATGGAAAGACTTTAAAAAAAAAGAAAAAGACAATGTCCCAAAGCAGCAATCCTGGACAGGCTACTGGAATGTCAGATATGCTAAGAACCTGTCACAATCCTTGATACTTTCAGGATCAAGCAAGATCTTTAGGAAAATTATACTGAAAGAGGAATTATATACAAGAGAGAGAGAGAGATGAAAAATCATCCTCCAAGTTTCTCAAGATATTGTCACCAAAATAAAAAATAAATGGGAAAAATAATGGCACATTCAAACTCATTCTCATCTCCCTCAGACCAAAAATAGTTTAAAAATTTGTTTACTTTCTTCACTTAAGAAACTGGTTCATCGAGTCAGCACAATCAGCTTTCTCCAGAATAGGATTTCTTTATACACAGCTAATAAGTCATTAATCTTCACTTTTTTGCGACATGTTTTAGAGATAGTCAAAAGAAGTCAGTCACTAGAGAAATGTTATTGCAATTTAGATTGTTCAAAAATTTTTGTGACTATAAACAAAAATCAGGAGTCAACTTTTAGAGACCAAAACAAGGAAGAATCACAGAAAAGATTTGGTAAAACTAAGATATAACATACATGGTAATATGGAAATGTAACTCAATTTTTGACAAATCACTTTTTTCCATAAAGGAACAAAATGAAACAAAAACAAGGACAAATCTTTAAAATACCTGACTTTCCTCAAAACTCACCCAAGCCAGGCCAAGGAAATAAGTACCCAATTAACAAAAAGAGCAACCCAAATGACTGACATCTATGGAAGGATAAATTCCTCTCACATATTTTAAGGTATAATATGGTTTCAATTAAAATAGTACATACTGCCAAGTGACAACACAGAAGGTGACATACATAAGGACTGATATATCACAATAAAAAAGGAGCAGTATTTTATGTATTATATTTTATTTTACTATTCATTATATTTAATACTTCCATATGAAGGAATTTACACAAGTAACTCGAGGGGGCAGAAAGAATACCATACAAATCAAAAAGAAAAGAAAAAGGAAGAGAAGAAAATGATTCTAAAATTAAGTCATAATACTGTAATGGGGTATGTGGTGGGGACTTGATAATGGGGGGAATCTAGTAACCACAATGTTGCTCATGCAATTGTATATTAATGATACAAAATAATACATAAAAAATAAACATAAATAAATAAGTCATAATATACCAGTTTCTATTCAATGTCACTAATTTGACAGGGCAATTTTTTACTTATATATATATAGTAAATACAGGGTAATTAAGAATGAAAATTCTATAGCCATACTGCTTTGATTTGAATCCTGGCTCTACATTCACAATGTCGGGGTGTGAGTGTGTGTGTGCGTGAGTACATGTGCACGTGCATGCGCACACACATACAAATACAACTCTGGGTAGTTAACCTCTCTGTGCTTCAGTTTTCTCATCTGTAATACAGGGATAATAATAGCATATATCTCAAAAAGCTGTTGTGAGGATTAGATGATGTAATATGAGTAAAGTATTTTTAATATTGTCTAGCACATAGCACTTACTAAGTATTAAAATCAACTATCATCCATTTTGTAACATTCCAACCCTCCCATCCCAATCTATCCAGCCTTGAAATAGCAACAGAAAGTCATAAAAGTATGAAAAATCTGACTCAAGAACTCTTTATGTTTCACTTCAACTAAGGATGCATATAAATAAATCTGTACTGTAGTGATATAAATTCAGTAAAATATTTCTGATCTAAAGCCTTGCTACTCAAAGTGATCTAAGGACCAGCAGACATAGGCATAACCAGAGGGCTTGGTAGAAATGAAGGCCCCACTAGAGATCTATGGAATCAGAATCTTTATGTTAATCCCCAAGTAATACCCATGCACATATAAGTTTGAGAAACACTAGTCTCAAAAACAATACCAAAAGCCTATAATGTGGACATATAAAAAATACAAATGGAATACTGTTAAACCAAACCAAGCACATTCCTTTGCGACTAAAAAGGATTAGAACTATGGTAAAAAACAAAATTTACCAAAAAACATTGTTTGCTTACCTAATGTTAAGGTATGTTAACATCTGTAGGTTTTTAATGGCTTCAGGAATGGTTTTGATGCAATTATGATATAAATTTAATGTTTCAAGAGGTGCAAATAACCAGACATCAGAAGGAATTTCTGTAAAACGATTTCTTGAAAGATCTGAAAAATAAAAGGTTTATGTGTCAAACATACACCTATATCTATGGTAATTAACAGAACTATTCTCATACTTCCTGAATCACTTAGAGTCCAAGCAACTACCTCAAATATTATAAAATATTATCCACCATCACATTGAAGGCAAAAAAAAAAATAGAGAAAAATATTCATGGAAAGCCTCTTTATTAATAAATTGTACTTGATAAACTACAATACCTTTAAAGTTTATCTTTCAAAATACTAATAAGGAATTCTGATATTTAAAAACAAAAAGCTGGGGTAGGGAAAAAAGATGGTGGCATGAGAAAAGAGGCAGAAACCTCCTCTCAAAACTACATACAACATGAAAGTACAGCAAATACAACCAATCGAGAAAGAGTGATCAGAAAGAAGACTACAACAGATGACTTACATCTGGGGAAGGGAGAGAAGACCTCACGGAAAAGGGTAAAGTAGCAAAGCCACGATCTAGAAGGACCCAAGCCCTTCCCCAACCCCAGTTCACTGGCGAGAGGAATAGAAATAGAAAAGGGTAAAGTAGCAAAGCCACGATCTAGAAGGACCCAAGCCCTTCCCCAACCCCAGCTCACTGGTGAGAGGAATAGAAATGGAGTGGGGAGGGAGAAGAGGCCCAGGATAGCTAAATACCCACCCCTGGAGGTCTACTAAGGGAGTACAAACTCACATTACATAGTGCTCTGGATATTAGAGGGGTTGGAAAGCAAAGACAGGCAGAATACTTGGAGAGACTGAGATTCCAACCACTTGTGGAAAACAGGTACCCACAAGTGGCTACTCAGGGACAAAAGAAAAGCAAGCACTTTAAAAGACTTCCTTCCCCCTTGCTAAAGGGGCAAGGATTACACATATACACAAAATGGTCCCAGCAAGCTGAGTGCAACAGGTTGGGAACTTTCAGGAGCTTCTCACACACCATCCCCTTGGGCTTCCAATGAGGTCCTGAGGCCCCCTACTGCTATATGCATCCAGCCGCTCCTTAGTCCTGGGTGGCACTAGTTTGCACACCTGCTGCCGCTGCCACCATGCCAGGCTATCCAGAGGGTGGCCCTGCCTACAGCAGCTACAGGGGCATGTCACAGAGGCTGCTCCCTGTGTACTTGGCTCACTGGCCCTGGCAGTAGAGGCAGGCACTGCAGCCAGGAGAAAGGCACTGCAGCCAGGAAGCAGGAAAGAGCTCCTTCCTCCTGGCAGGCACCAGTGCCACTCACCTGAGAACCCCACCATCACTACAGAGGCTGGGCAGATCCAGAGAACACAGCTTCTGCTCATAGAGAGTGCCACCTACACAAAGTTATTATTCCATAGTAATCATTACAAATATGAAATGGCAAAAGAACTTGGTACAAACCAAAATCCCACAAACACCAGAAAGAGGGCTCACTGAAAATGAAATCACCAATCTCCTTGATAAACATTTCAAAATAAAAATGACAAACAAGGTCACGAAGCTACAGGAAAACAGTCAAGATCTCAGGGAGGACTTCAAGAAAGAGGTAGAAACTTTGAAAAATTCAGTATCTGAAATGAAAAATAAAATGGAAGGACTTAAAAGCAGATTAGATCAGGTAGAGGAAATGTTAATGAAATAGAAATTAAAGAACAAGAATATAAAAAAGCTGAGGCACAGAAAGAAAAAAAAAGGAGGATCTCTGGAATGAAAAAATATTAAGAGAACGGTGGGACCAATCCAAACAGAACAATATTCACATTACAGGGGTACCAGAAGAAGAGAAAAAAAAGGGACAGTAAGTCTCTTTGAGGAAATAATTGCTAAAAATCTCCACAATCAGGGGAACAAAAGAGTCTCTCAGTCCATGGAAGTGCACAGATCTCCCAACACAAGGGACCCAAGGAAAACAACACCAAGGCATATAATAATTAAAATGGCAAAGATCAAGGACAAGCAGAGAATATTAAAAGCAGCCAGAGAGAGAAAAAAGATCACATACAAAAGGAAAACCCATCAGTATATCATCAGACTTCTCAGAAGAAACCTTACAGACCAGAAAGAAGTGGCATGATACACTGAATGCAATGAAGCAGAAGGGCCTAGAACCAAGAATACTCTACCCAGCAAGATGATCATTTAAATTTGAAGCAGGGATTAAGCAATTTCCACATAATCAAACTTTGACAGAATTTACCTCCCACAAACAGTTTATACAGTGTATTTTAAAGGGGCTACTCTAGATGGAAGTGCTCCTAAGGCTAAATAGCTGTCACCAGAAAAGATAAAACCAAAGTAAAGGAAGCAGACCAATTAATTACTCATCAAAGGCAAAATTAAATCACCTACCCACAAAGTCAGTCACGGAATACACAAAGAGTACCGAATATGATACCTAATATATAGAGTGGAAGAGGAGGAAGAAAAAGGGAGAAAAAGAAAAAAAAGAATCTTTAGATTGTGTTTGAAATTGCAAACTAAGTGAGTTAAGTTAGACTGTCAGACAGCAAAGAAGCTACCCCTGAACCTTCGGTAACTACAAACCTAAAGCCTGCAATGGTAAAAAGTACGTACCTATCGATAATCACTCTAAATGTAAATGAACTTAATGCATCAATCAAAAGACACAGAGTTACTGAATGGATAAAAAAGCAGGAACCATCTACATGCTGCCTACAAAAGACTCACTTCAAACCCAAAGACATACACAGACTAAAAGTGAAGGGATGGAAAGAGATATTTCATGCAAATACCAGGGAGAAAAAAGCAGGAGTTGTAGTACTTGCATCAGACAAAATAGACTTCAAAACACAGAAAGTAACAAGAGACAATGAAGGACATTATATAATAAAAGAAGGATCAGTCCAAACAGAGGATATAACCATTATAAATATCTATGCACCCAACATAGGAGCACACAAATATGTAACAGAATTAAAGGGGGAAATAGAATACAGTGTATTCATTTCAGGAGACTTCAACACACCACTCACTCCAAAGGACAGATTAAACAGACAAAAAATAAGGAGGCAGAGGTAATGAACAACACATTAGAATGGATGGACCTAACAGACATCTACAGAAGTCTACACCCAAAAGCAGCAGGATACACATTCTTCTCAAGTGCACATGGAAAAATTTCCAGAACAGATCACATACTAGGGCACAAAAAGAGCCAGAGTAAATTCAGGAGATTGAAATTTTACCAACCAACTTCTCAGACCACAAAGGTCTGAAGCTATAAATAACTTGTGGAAAGAAAACAAGAAAACCCACAAACACATGGAGGATTGACAACATGCTCCTAAATAATCAATGTCTCAAAGACCAAATAAAAACAGAGATTAAGCAATATATGGAGACAAATGAAAACAACAGCTCAATACCCCAACTTCTGTGGAGGCAGTGAAGGCAGTTCTAAGAGGAAAGTATATAGCAATACAAGCTTATCTCAAGAAAGATGAACAATCCCAAATGAACAGTCTAAACTCACAATTAATGAAACTAGAAAAAGAAGAGCAAAGGAGGCCCAAAGTCAGCAGAAGTAGGGATATAATAAAGATAAGAGAAGAAATAAATAAAATTGAGGAGAATAAAACAACAGAAAGACTTAACGAAACCAGGAGCTGGTTCCTTGAGAAAATAAAAAAAATAGATAAACCGCTAGCCAGACTTATCAAGAAAAAAAGAGAGTCTACGCACCTAAACAGAATCAGAAATGAGAAAGGAAAAATCACTATGGACACTACAGAAATACAAAGAATTATGAGAGAATATTATGAAATTTATATGCGAACAAATTGGGTGACCTAGAAGAAATAGACAACTTTCTAGAAAAAAAAAACCTTCCAAGACTGGCCAAAGAAGAAACAGAAAATCTGAACAGACCAATTACCATCAATGAAATTGAATTGGTAATCAAAAAACTACCAAAGTACAAAACCTCTGAACCAGATGGCTTCACTGCTGAATTTCATCAAACATTTAGAGAAGACCTAATACCCATCCCCCTTAAAGTTTTCCAAAAAGTAGAAGAGGAGGGAATACTTCCAAACTCATTCCATGAGGCCAGCATCACTCTAATACCAAAACCAGGCAAAAACACCACAAAAAAAGAAAATTACAGACCAATATCCCTGATGAACATAGATTCAAAAATACTCAAAGGATATTAGCAAATTGAATTCAAATATATATCAAAAAGATTATCCATCATGATCAAGTGGGATTTATTCCAATGATGCCAGGATGGTACAATATTCAATAATCCATCAACATCATCCACATCAACAAAAGGACAAAAATCACATGGTCATCTCAACAGATGATGAAAAAGCATTTGACAAAATTCAACACCCATTCATGATAAAAATTCTCAATAAAATGGGTATAGAGAGCAAGTACGTCAACATAATATAGGCCATATACAACAAATTCACATACAATGCCATACAAGATCAGGAACAAGACAAGTATGCCCACTCTCCCCACTTTAATTCAACATAGTACTGGAGGTCCTAGCTGCAACACACAGACAACACAAAGAGAAAAAAGGTATCCAGATTGGTAAGGAAGAAGTTAAACTGTCACTGTTTGCAGATGACATGATATTGTGCATAAAAAACCCTTAAGAATCCACCCCAAAACTACCAGAAATAATAACTCAATTCAGCAAAGTTGCAGGATACAAAATTAAAACACAGAAATCTGTGGCAATCCCATATACTAACAATGAACTAGCAGAAAGAGAAATCAGGAAAACAATTCCATTCACAATTGCATCAAATAGAATAAAATACCTAGGAATAAACCTAACCAAGGAGGTGAAAGTTCTATACTGACAATTACAAGACGACTCATAAGAGAAATTTAAAAAGATACCAATAAATGGAAATACATGCCGTGCTCAAGGATAGGAAGAATTAATATTGTCAAAATGGCCATCCTGCCTAAAGCAATATACAGATTCAATGCAATCCCTATCAAAATACCAACAGCATTCTTCACTGAACTAGAACAAATAGTTCTAAAA